ATGTCAACCCTCTCGCTTCTCGACCTTGGGGGACCTTAAGAGATACCTTTTGTCTGTGCCTCTTCACATGTTTTATGCTTGGTACCTTAACTTAAATTTTTATTTCATAAACTTTCATAGATCACTGTGAATTAAGCTCTTGCTTGAATGTATTTTAATAACTTAACGTGGTGCCAATTTGTCTTCTCAATTTAAAGTGAATTATTCTTTGTACCAGCAAATTATAAGAGAAGTTGCGGTTATTTTCATTCAGTTACAGCTGTCCAGGGGCAAACGTGAAAAATTAGTTTGACACTTTTTACTGTAAAGTTATCCAGAAGAAAAGAACGTGCTGTTTATAGGCATAATACACAGTCAAACATAGAAAGTTCTGTATTATGCAGGAAGTTGTACATTTATGTAATTTTAGAGTATTAGAAGGAAGCGTTCATGTTGATTCAAAGACCTGATGTTAACAATCTGCTTCATCTCCCAGAATTCTCTCTGGATACACTGTAGATAAACGTTTCATTTTCTTCAGCTTTTTATTATTATTCAACCTTGAGTATTCAAATAAATGTCCTCGTGTTTCACCTGGAGAATATTTGGTCCAGTTTCACTGCCTTTACCAAAAAGACTTTTATTTTGCCCCTTTCACATGCACTCTGCTTTGCCAGTAAACCAGCACAGTGCTGGCATAATGCTAACCCTTGGTGATGGCTGAATATAGTTGTGGCTCTGTCAGTGAAGCAAATGAAAATATGAACATTGACAGTCTTTTTAAAGAAATACATTGTTTTGGGCTTTGATTCATCAGCATATGAAAAAATGTATTTGCTCATTTTATTTGTAAAACCTAAGTTAAAGCCTGTTCCTTTTAAATTAGAATGTTCTAGAATAGAGCAAATGCTCTTAAGTCCTCTTGGATGACAAATAATTGTTAAGTATTTTGATGTACTTCTCTAGTTTCAAAATATCTATAACTCTTAAAATATTTAGCAAAAGTAATTTGACCGTTTTTATTTAGAAACATTGTTATGGATTGAATTGTGTCCCCCCCACCAAAAAAAAAATGTGTGTTAACTTGGCAAGTCCATGATTCCCAGTATTGTGTGATTGTCTACCATTTTGTCATCTGATGCGATTTTCCTATGTGTTGTAAATCCTACCGCTATGTTAATGAGGTGGGATTAGCAGCAGTTATGTTAATGAGGCAGGACTCAATCTACAAGATTAGGTTGTGTCATAAGTCAGTCTCTTTTGAGATATAAAAGAGAGAAGTGAGCAGAGAGATAGGGGGACCTAATACCACCAAGAAAGTAGAGCCAGGAGAGTGTGTCCTTTGAACCCTGTGCTGAGAATCTCCTAGACCAGGGGAAGATTGTTGAAAGGACCTTCCCCCAGAGCGAACACAGAGAGAAAGCCTTCCCCTGGAGCTGGCGCCCTGAATTCAGACTTTTAGCCTCCTAGACTGTGAGAGAATAAACTTATCTTTGTTAAAGCAGTCCACTTGTGGTATTTCTGTTATAGCAGCACTAGATAACTAAGACAGAATTTGGTACCGAGAGAGTAGGGTACTGCTATAGTAGATACTGAAAATGTGGAAGCAGTTTTGAAACTGTGAATGGGGTAGAGGCTGGAAGAGTTTTTAAAGTGCCTGATAGTAAAAGCCTAGATTGCCTTGAAGAGACTGTTGGGTAGAACTGTAGACATCAAAGACGATTCTGGTGAGGACTCAGAAAGAAGTGAAGAAAGCTGTTAACAATGGAGACGGCGCAGACTGCAAGAAGCAGCAGCAGAGAAACATCAGCAGCAGAGAAGCAGCAGCAACAGAATGAGGAGACCAGCTCAAGACAGCGCTAGAGCCGACCCATGGAGCAAGAGAGCTGAGTGCCTTTGGGCAGGGGTCTTCCTAACGGAGTAGGTGCCTCCAGACACTTATCTGTGGAGCTAGGCTTTGCCCATGCATGGAGCAAGAGAGCTGAGTGCCTTCCAGCCGAAGTTTACTGGTGGAGTGAGGTGTCCCCAGGTACTTATTGGTGGAGCTAAAGAGCTTTGGGACACTTACCTCAGCAGGACAGATGCAGGCGGTGAGGCCCAAGGGGCCAAGAGGCCAAGGAATCAGAAAGCAGAAGCTGAAGAGACAAGGAACACAGAAAACAGAGCTGCCTTAGCCTCAAAGGGTAGGGCCACGACCTCTGGGGTTTCAAAGGGTGAGGCCGTGGCCTCTGGAGCTGCAAAGAGTAGGGCCACAGACTCCTAGGTTTCAAAGAGCCAGATCTTCTCCAACTCTGTTCCAGAGTATGGGGCTGCCATTCATGAGTGCCAACAGGATGAGGCTGGATCCACTGCCCAAAGCTGAGAGAGTAGGTGGCTGCCATGCCCGAGGGGCAGAAGAACGGGGCGTGCTGGGGCCGAGGGGATAGGGTTACCACTCAGATGGGCCAGATGAATGGGGCCACCCAAAGCCGAGGGAGCAGAGTTGCCATCCCAGTGGGCCTGGAAGGTAGAGCTGAAGCCCAGGCTCAAGGGGCCTACACCCAGAATCCGGAGAGTGTGGCCAATACCTAGAGTCTGGAGGGCAGGGCCGTTGTGTAAATTGTCTCAGAGAACAGAGGATTATTTTCAAGCCTTGAGGGCTAATGTAATGTGTTCTGCTGACTTGCTTGGTACCTGTTATTGTTTCTTTCCCTTCGCATTCTCCCATTTGTAATGGAAATGTCTACTGTGTGCCTGTTCCACCATTGTACTGTGGAAGCAGATAACTTGTATTCTAGATTTCACAGATGAAGAGAAATTTTTTGGATTTTGGACTTGGAGTTGATTTAAGACTTTTGCTATGATATGATGGAGTGAATGTGTTTTATATGTGGCAAGGACATGAATTTGGGGGGGAACCAAAGGGTAGAATGTTATAGATTGAATTGTGTCCCCCAAAAAAATGTGAGTCAACTTGGTTAGTCCATGATTCCCAGTATTGTGTGATTGTCCACTCTTTTGTCATCTGATGTAATTTTCCTATGTATTGTAAATCCTACCTCTATGTTAATGAGGTAGGATTAGAGGCAGTTATGTTAATGAGGCAGGGCTCATTCTACAAGATTAGCTGTATCTTAAGTCAATCTTTTTTGAGATATAAAAGAGAGAAGTGAGCAGAGAGACAGGGGGACCTCCTACCACCAAGAAAGTAGAGCCAGGAGTGCACATCCTTTGGACCCAGGATCCCTGTGCTGAGAAGCTCTTAGACCAGGGGAAGATTGATGACAAGGATCTTTCCCCAGAGCCAACAGAGAGAGAAAGCCTTCACCTGGAGCTAGCGCCCTAAATTCGGACTTCTAGCCTCCTAGACTGTGAGAGAATAAATTTCTCTTTGTTTAAAGTCATCCACTTGTGGTATTTCTGTTATAGCACACTAGATAACTAAGACAAGCATTATAGTTAAAAAGGAAAAGTAGAAGAACCTAGTAAGAGCTCCATCTGGAGGCTAAGAGCTTTGGAGTCAGAGACAGCTGGACTCACATCCTCACCCTGCCTCCCTGCTACCCACCAACCATGACACCTTGGGGAAGTTACTCAACTTTAAATTTAAAAAAATGTCATTGAGTTGATTTCAACTCATGACTACTCCATGTGTTAAAGAGTAGAACTCTTCCATAGGGTTTACGGAAGCAGATCACCAGGACTTTCTTCCACTGTGCTGCTGGAGGGATTCAAACCACCAATGTTTTTTTGGTTACTAGTGGACCACCTAGGGACCTTTTATTCAACTTCTCCCTCTCTGCTATTCACTTTCTTTGTAAAAGGGGATTAACAGCACCTACTTCACAGGAAGGAGCCCTGGTGACCCAGTGGTCAAGCACTCGGCTGCTAACTGAAAGGTCAATGGGAAAGGTCAACAGTTCAAACCCACCAGCTGTTCTGCGGAAGAAAGATGTGGCAGTCTGCTTCCATAAAGATTACAGCCTTGGAAACCCTACGGGGCAGTTCTGCTCTGTCCTATAGGGTCTCTATCAGTCAGAATCGACTCAACAGCAATGGGTTACTTCACAGGATGGTGGGAGCAAGGGAATGAGGAAAGCATTTAGCAGAGTCCCTGGCATGTAGTAGATACTAAATGAAAGATTACTTGCTTATAATTAATTTTTAGTTATAAATAGGTTTTATTTACTGCTAAATGATGTATTCCAAGGGCATCCATTCATCCATTCACTCGCACGTATATTTATTGGGTGTTCATAGAAGCTTAGTGGAAATTGGCCTTGAAAATAGTCACGTACTCAGATAAATGTTGTTAGGTGCCTTCAAGTCGACGTCAACTCATAGAGACCCCATGTGACAGAGTTGAACTGCCCCATAGTGTTTTCTTGGCTATAGTCTTTAGGGAAGCAGATCACCAGGTCTTCTTCCAAGGAGCTGCTGGGTGGGGTCAAACCCCCAACCTTTTCGTTAGCCGCCGAGCATTTAACCATTGTGCTTCCGGGGCTCCTTGGTAAATGTTTATGAGGTAAATATAAAGATATTGTATTTCCTTAGTTGAAATGACCTTAAGCCTTCTTGAAGAACCGTAGGTTTGGAGGGTTGGGGCACAGCGTGGGGAGACAGAGAAGGTGGATAATGAATTGCATATTCGAGAAAGCTGTAAGAAATGCTTTATGCTGCTCTGGTTAAAAAAAAAAATTGAATCCAAATAAGCATGTGTTATTTGCTGTAGAGTACTTGGAATCTCACTTCATTTGACAATCTCATCAAGAATCCATCCCCAAAACATATTAAAATAGTAATACAGCATCCATTTCTTCAGGCACTGTGCTGGGCACATACATGTCCCCACTCGACGTTTCGTTGAGAATGGCGACCCTGCCCAGGGGGATGTTTTCAGATCCAGTCCAGGGTTCTGTCTGTGTACTGCAGCCACACACCCCTGGCTTTGCCCGAAGCCCTTTCTCCTGATGTGACTCTAATGACAAGATTTGGGAACTTTACATTGGACGTGGTTTCACAAAACGCTGTTCTTTCTGCAGGAAGATGAGCGCGTCTGACCCAATGTGACGTCTCTGAGGGCCTGACTTACTCCCCAGAGCCGGGCTGTCCTGACTGCCACCATGGGGCTCACGGAGAGCCTGCTGAGCGGCAGCGGACAGATGCAGATGGTTCGGTGGGAAATTGTGGCAGCTGTCGCTGGTTTCTTCCTCATCACCTTCCTCATCTCTCTCTGTTCCAGCTGTGACAGGTAAGAGCCCGTGAGTGCCTACTGTAGCCTTAAAAGAACATGTTTCCTGTACCCTGAAGACTTTTGTTTAAACCTTTGCCTCGTTTCTCATCAAAGTGGGAAAACATGTCAGCCATTCACCCGTATGTATGATATTAGATGTAGGTTGTCTATTATTATTATTTATTTCAATCCTTAAAACAACTCGATGAGGTAGGGACTAATATTATCCCCATTTTACAGACTTTAAACACTGAGACCCAGGGAGCAACGTGCAGCACTAGTGAGTGATAGAACTGGGCTTGAGGCCGAAGCGGCCTGGCCCGGGGGTATGGCTGTCTTCACTGCTCCACTCTCCTGCTTCTCAGCTTCAGATGTCCCGAGCATAGCTCTTCATGTCTCCTTTGGAGCCATTGTCCAGAGCATTCGTTTTGGAAGTGGTGCTTTTGGTGGGGCTTATTGCAAAAGAGAAAATGCTTATGCGTTGTTGTTCAAGAGACCATCCAATAAGACTTGCCTGTTACCTCCTTGAAAAACAGAAAACATTCCCATTGCAGCAACGCGGTGGGCCTCCTGCTGGGGTACCTTTTCAGTGACTGACTTTCTGGTGTAGCCTAGTGATGCTGGGGGCCATCTGGGTTGCCCGAGGTCAGACAGCAATGTGATGAAGTGGTGATGGGCGTTAGTTCCTTGTCCGACAGTTTGAGGTGTGTTGTGGGAGGAGGGATAGCCAGTTTCTCTGCATATGTCCCTTTGGCTCTCTGGGGGAAGCCCAGAAGACTGTGTAAAAAGTCTGTTGTAAATGCAGTCTCACTGGGTAGACTTTAACAGAAACTCTGCATAGACTTTCACAGAAATGAACTTGCCTCTCTCTACTGCAAAAGATCCCAGGACATTTTATTATGATTATTAAACAAAAATTCATATTTTATTCCAGCCGCCTTATTCCTGGAATGAAATGATTGCCGTTCTTTTAAGCACATCTTTGTTAGAATGTTGATTGCCTTTTTCCCGTGTCATGTACATTGAAGTGCTTTGTTTGCTGCCGCTTGAACGTGGAGAACCCTTGTTTAAGGATTTGTCATCTAGAACTGTAGTTTTTTAAGAAACAGATTAGTTATTTTAAAGAGAGAGAGAGATGGTGTATAGGAAAGTCACACCATCTATGCCTTTTTAAATAAATGTCAGTACCCCTAGAAAGGCCTTAACTGGACGGCAGCTGATTACCGGCTACCCCTAGAAAGAGATCTTTTGCTCAGAGAGAAGTAAAGCTCTTTCTAACCAGGAGTGATATTTTCCAGACATTTAGCAACTGTTACAATGTGTGCACAAGTGTGCACAGAGCCCTGTGGCAAAAAGGAAGCAGCTGGAAGTCAGCCAGCCCTGTTCCAAACTTTCTCCTCAGTAACCTCAGAAAAAATTCCATAAGCATCATTTAAAAGTCTGGATACGGCTTCCTACCCTAAAAGTTTCTGTTGAGAGGGAAGATGTCGGACTCTCTGAGCCCGAGTAGCCTCCTAAACTCCACCGATCAGGACCCCATCCTCGCCAGACGGCTTGGAGAAATAGCGACCAGCTGAGTGCTGGCTCCTTGTGCTCGGTAGGGCTGCTTCTGCAATTACTCGCTCTCCCGTTAGGTGTCATTTTTGCCTTACAAAGATGTGAAATGGCTTCTCTAGTACCGAAGGCTTTCTTTAGACTGCCCTGGGTGAAAACAAACTATTTTTACTCTACTGACTTTTCCACGGACCGGAAGCGCAGATGACTCATCCTGAAACCATGTACCCTTCCCGACTTGCCAAAACTTGCATTTGCTTTATGATTATTTTCTCCATTCCATGGCAATGTCTGACTGTGCAAACAGCAGGGTTAAGTAAAGTGAAGAGTTAATTGTCTGGATTTTTCTCAAGGAAAAAAAATGGTATAACTTACCCCAGCATTCTAGACATAAACAGTTTCTATGCAGGACCTGACTGGGTCCTTTCCTTGTGAATTTCTGTTTTCTAGTCCTGGAAGAAGGGCTGCTTAGCAGAGGTGGAACAGTCCGGCCCTGTGACTTGATCACGTCAGATTCCTAACACTTGCAAATAAGTGGTGGGATGTATAGCATCATTAACTGTCCGTTTCTTTCTCTCGTGGCAAAATGAACTTTGTTTTTCTAAGTTTTGTTTATTTTGTTGTTGTTAACAATATACACAGCATAACATACACCAATTCAGCAGTTTTTACATGTACAATTTAGCGCATTGATTACCTTCTTTGAGTTGTGCAACCATTCTCCCCCTCCTTTTCTGAGTTGTTCCTCCCCCATTAACATCAACTCACTGCCCTCTAAAGTTCCTATCTAATCTTTTGAATGAATTTTGTCAATTTGATCCTATATAGATAGTTCTTAAAAGAGCATAATGCTCAAGGCAGGCCCTTTTTACTAGTTAAGCTAAACTACTGTTCGGGTTTAAGATGACTTCAGAGGATATTTTTAGTTTAAGGTTTAAAATTATCTCAGGGCAGTAGTTTCAGGGGTTCATCCATCCTCTCCATGGCTCCAAAAAATCTAGAGTCCATAAGAATTGGAAATTCTGTTCTGCTTTTTCCCCTTTTTGATGAGGATTCTTCTATAGAATCTTTGATCAAAATGTTCAGTAATGGTAGCCAGGCACCATCCAGTTCTTCTGGTCTCTTGGCAAAAGAGGCCGTTGTTCATGGAGACAGTTAGCCACATGTTCCACATCCTCCTCCTGTTCCTGACTTGCCTTCTTCCTCCATTGCTCCAGGTGAGTAGAGACCAACTGTTGTTCCTTGGATGGCCACTTGTAAGCTTTTGAGGCCCCAGGCACTACATGACTGAGCTAGGAGTTAGAACAGAAGCACTAAACATGTTATTAGGCCAGTTAACTGGGATGTCCCATGAAACCATGACCCTAAACCTCCAAACCAAAGAACCAAATCCCATGAGGTTTTGGGTTGTACATAAGCAGCCCCAGCAACTACTACTTTTTTTTTTTTTTGTCACCATAAATATATTTATCACACAACTTTTGCCAATTCAACTTTTTACAGGTATATGGCTTTTGACGGCAATTACAGTAATCAGCTCTGAAACCCTACCCATAATCAATGTGATTTTTCTATCACCATTAACCCCCCTTTGTCTGTGGTGACCACTAATAGACTTTGCTCTCTATACATTTACCTTTTCTTGTCTTTGTATGTGAATGAGGTCATACAATATTTGTCCTTTTGTGATTGCCTTATTTCACTCAGCATAATGTCTTCCAGCTCCATCCATACTGTAGCGTGTATCAAGACTCCATTCCTCCCACTGGCTGAGTAGTATTCCATGGTATGTCTGTGCCACATTGGGTTTATCCAGTCATCTGTTGATGGGCGTTTAGGTTGTTTCCACCTTTTGGTCACTGTGAATAGTGCTGCAGTAAACATTGGTGTACAAGTCTCTTTTTGAGTCTCTGCTCTCAAGTCTTTGGGGTATATACCTAGAATTGCTGCGTCATATGGTAGTTCTATTTTTAGTTTTTTGAGGAACTGTCACACTGTTTTCCACAACGGCTGTACCATTTTGCATTCCCACCAGCAATGGATAAGGATTCCAATTTCCCCACATCCTTGCCAACATTTGTTATTTTCTGTTGTTTTTTTTTTTTTTTTCCTCTTAGCCATCCTAGTGGGAGTGAAACGGTATCTCATTGTGGTTTTGATTTGCATGTCTGTGATGACTCATGATGCTGAGCATCTTTTCATGTGTTCAGTGGCCATTTGAATGTCCTCTTTGGTGAAATGTCTATTCAAGTCTTTGCCCATTTTACGATTGGGTTATTGTTAAGTTGTTGAAGTTATATATATATTTTGATTATTAGATTCTTGTCAGATGTATGGTTTCCAAAGATATTCACCCAGTCAGTAGCTTGTCTTTTCACTTTTTTGTAAAGTCTTTCAATGAACAAAAGTTTTTAATTTGTTTGAAGTCCAGTTTATTTTCTCTTTTGCTGTTTGTGCTTTTGTTATTAGATAATCCATTGTTGAAAGCTAGGCCTGACGGTGTTGCCCCTGCTTGTTCTTCTAAGAATTTTATGGTTTTAATTTGCACATTTAGGTCCTTAATCCATTTTGAATTTGTTTTTGTGTACAGTATGAGGCATGGATCCTGTTTCATTTTTCTGCATGTGGAAATCCAGTTTTCCCAGAACCATTTATTGAAGAGGCTCTTCTTTCCCCCATCAAATGGACTTGGCACCCTTGTCAAAAATCAGTTGACCATAGATGTATGGGGTTTATTTCTGGATTCTCAATTCTATTCCATCGGTCTATGTGTTTTTCGTTATACCAGTACCAGGCTGTTTTGATGACTGTAGCTGTATAGTATGTTCTAAAATCAGGAAGTGTGAGTCCTCCTACTTTGTTGTTCGTTTTTGACATTGTTTTAGCTATTCAGATCCTCTTTCCATTCCATATAAAGTTGAGGATTGGTTTTTCTGTTTCCATAAAGAAGGCTGTTGGAATTTTGGTCAGGATTGCATTGAATCTACAGATCTCTTGAGGGTAGTATTTACATCTTAACAATATTAAGTCTTCCAATCCATGAACATAAAACATCTTTCCATTTATTTAAGTCTCCTTTAATCTCTATCAGCAGTGTTTTATAGCTTTCATTGTATAAGTCCTTCACGTTGAAGTTTGTTTTTAAAATGAGAGAGACAGGTGGTGGCTGCACATGAGATTCATTGACTGGAAATCACCCCTGGGTCTCCCTTGTGGAAGGCAAGAATTGTACCACTGATCACCAGTGCCTTCTCGGTCATTACAGCCATGTTTTATTTTCCATTTCAGAGAGAAGAAGCCGAGACCTCAAAGTGGGGACGATGAGAACCTGATGAATGTGGTGAGCCCCGGTGATGTGTGTGCCTGCGTGTGTGTGTGCATACCCGTGTGTGTGCCCGTGCATGTGTGTGCCCATGCACTCATGCATGTGTGTGCCCATGCACTCATGCATGGGTCTTTTCAAACACCAGCCACTGTCTAGTATGCTCCCATGTACTTCCCACCTCAATGGAACCAAGCGGAGAGTTAAGCCAGAGTTAGCCGTGACGGCCTGGACGGCCTGGGCTGTATTCTCTTTGTGTAGCGTGGAGTCACCATGATCACAGGCCTGTGCAATTGGCTCGGTTTTTGGGAGAATTCCTGAAATGGGTGAAGCCTGGGACATTTGTGCTGCTGCCTGAAAGATTCTTAAAGGGAAGTTTGTCTTTTGCCTCTATCCATCTCCAGCACCAGCCAGTCATTAAACCAACCAGATGCTGGAACCCAAAACACTCAAGGATTGGCCTGACCTTGCTGGATTATCCTCAGCCCTCAGCACCTTATGAGTCTCGGGAATCCACGCTGGAGGAGCAGCCTGAGAGAGCCCCATCTTGCCTGGTTCTCTCAGATTCAGGGCCATCCCCTGAAATGGCTGAGCAATTTCAGAAGCTTGGGATGCGTCCACCCTCATGTTCACAGGGCTGGGTTCCTCAGAGTCCTGCCTGAGCCCTGCCCAATGCTGTAACAGAGAAGGTGCTTCCTGTTCCCATATCATTTTTCAAGATCAGGCAAAAACTGGTTGAGGAAGTGAGTACAAAAAGGAAGTATGTATGAGTCAAATAGATAAAATGTGGTCTGGTGTAAAATATGTGGCCAGCAGAAATGTTCAGAGCTCACCAGGGTGGTGGCTCCATCTAGGCTGCCCTGACCCAAAAATGCACAGGACAGCCCAAGCAGACAGGAAGTGGTCAGGACTCCCCTTTCCTCCAAGGAGCCCTTGGGGTTTTCCTCCTCGTCCTTTCTGCACACGTGCGTGCATGCACACACACTCACATGTGTGCACAGACACACCTCGCTCACCCGCCCACATTCTGGGTTATCCCACCCTCCGTTCCAGTCTCTGATTGTCCAAGTCCCCGCTTCTCCCCTGTTTGCAGTGCCTCTGTTTTGCCCCAATGGTGGCATCAGGAGAAAAAGTGAGACAGATGGTGTCTTAGTCATCTAGTGCTGCTATAACAGAAATACCACAAATGGATGGGTTTAACAAAGAGAGTTTATTTCCTTACAGTAAAGTAGGCTAAAAGTCCAAATTCAGGGTGTCAGCTCCAGGGGAAGGTTTTCTGTCTGTTGGCCTTCTCATCAATGTTTCCCTGGACTGGGAGCTTCTCCGTGCAGGGACCCTCGGTCCAAAGGACATGCTTTGCTCCTGGCACTGCTTTCTCGGTGGTATGAAGTCCTCCTGTCTCTCTGCTTACTTCTCTCTTTTATATCTCAAGAGATTGCCTCAGGACACAATCCAGTCTTATAGATTGAATCCTGCCTTACTAACACAACTGCCACCCATCTTCCCTCATTAACATCTTAGAGATAGGATTTACAACATATAGGAAAATCACACAGTACCAGGAATCATGGCCCAGCCAAGTTGATACACACATTTTTGGGGGGACATAATTCAATCCATGACATTCCACCCTTTGCCCCCCCCAAAATCACATCCTTACAACATGCAGAACATATCCATCGTGTCATATCATAGCAAAAGTCTTAACTCTAAGTCCAAAATCCAAAAATTCCTCTTCATCTGTGAAATCTAGAATGCAAGTTATTTGCTTCCAAAGGTACAATGGCAGAACAGGCACAAGCTAGACATTTCCATTACAAATAGGAGAAACTGGAGGGAAAGAAGAGACAACAGGCACCAAGCAAGTCAGCAGAACACACCACACCAGCCCTCAAGGCTTTGAAAATAATCTTCTGCCCTCTGAGACAATTTCCACAATGGCCCTGCCCTCCAGACTGTAGGTATTGGGCACACTTTCCAGATTCTGAGTGGAGGTCCCTCGGCCCTGGGCTTCAGCTCCACCTTCCAGGCCCACTGGGACAGCGACTCTGCTCCCTTGGCTTTAGGCGCACCATTCTCCTAGTCCATCTGAGTGGCGACTCCACCCTTAGAAGCACCAGGGGCCATGGCTCCACCCTTAGAAACCCCTGAGGTCGTAGCCATACCTTTTGAGACTGAGGCAGCTCAGCTTCTTGTGTCCCTTGTCTCTTTAGCTTCTGTTTCCTGTGGCCTCTTGGCCCTCGGGCCTCACGGCCGCATCTGCCCTGCTGGGGCAAGTGTTCCAAAGCTCAGTAGCTCCACCAGTAAGTGCCCGGAGGCACCCGCTCCACCAGAAAGCCTCATGCACACAGGCACTCAGCTCTCTCACTCTGTGGGTCGGCAAGCCTAGCTCCACCAATAAGTACTCAGAGGCGCCCCACTCCGCCAGGAAGCCTCCTGCACACAGGCACTCAGCTCCCTCACTCCGTGGGTTAGCTCAAGCGCCGTCTGGCACTGGTCTCCTGGTTCTGCTGCTGCCAGTTCTCTGCTGTTGCCACTTCTCTACCGATGCAGGTTCTCTGCTGCTGCTGGTCCTCTGCCACTGATACTTCTCTATCCATTCACAGTTTCAAAGCAACTTCCACATTTTAGGTATCTGTTAGAGCAGCACCCCACTCCTGGTACCAAATTCTGTCTTAGTCATCTAGTGCTGCTGTAACAGAAATATGACAAGTGGATGGTTTTAACAAAGAGAAGTTTATTTCCTTACACTAAAGTAGGGTAAAAGTCTAAATTCAGGGTGTCAGCTCCAGGGGAAGGTTTTCTGTCTGTTGGCCTTCTCATCAATGTTTCCCTGGACTAGGAGCTTCTCCATGCAGGGACCCCAGGTCCAAATGATATGCTCTGCTCCTGGCACTGCTTTGTCGGTGGTATGCTTACTTCTCTCTTTTATATCTCAAGAGATTGCCTCAGGACACAGTCCAGTCTTGTAGATTGAGTCCTGCCTTATTAACACAACTGCCACTCATCCTCCCTCATTAACATCATAGAGGCAGGATTTACAACATATAGGAAAATCACACAGTACCAGGAATCATGGCCCAGCCAAGTTGATACACACATTTTTGGGGGACATAATTCAATCCATGACAGATGGGGAGGGAGAAGAGAGCACGTGAGTTGTGGTGTATGGGGATCCTCCACCACTGCTTCACCTGCACGCAGATCCCAGGCTCCTTCCTTCTCCCCACGCCTCTGCTCCGAGCCAGTTGTCGGATGAGGTGGGGGCTGGGGGAAGAGCTTCCCTTTCCATTCCTCTAACCCTACCTCTCCGCACTTCTTTCAAGAGCAGTGGTTCTCAAGTGTGGTCCCTAGACTACCAGTATCAGCATCACCTGGGAGCTTGTTAGAAATGCAGAATCTCCTACAGCCAGCAAAGTCTGTTTTAACAAGCTGTCCAGGTGGTTCTGATACCCAGGTGATTCAAGTTTGAGAACCTGTGGTCTGGACCTTTGGTTCCTGCTGTTTTGCTAAAGATCAGTAGCAGCCCTAGGTGAGAGAGAAAGAGGGTGGGTATACAGGGGAATAGAGGAAAAATTTCTCTTTCCTTGTTTTCTTCCTCACAATACTACCTCCTCCTCATAGTCTCTCTTATATGAGTGTGTGTGTGTGTGTGCGTGCACTTGAGTGTGTATTCACAGATGGGCACGTGCAGTCACGCACGCACCCACACCTTGCCCATACAGTTCTCTTAAGTACTGCTCTTTCAGCTTCTATACCTTTTACAATTTGCAGATTCCCCATCTGGGCCAGAGAAGCCCTGTTACCTTCTCCTCCCCACCCCTGATTCCAGTTCTGACAAATCCCTCTAACCGATAGGAGCTACCACTAAGTCCTAGCCTAGAAAGCCTGGGGCGACCCATATTCTGTGCTTGGAGCTACTGTGGGAGGGAGCTTGCTCCTGGCTTCTCAGTTTGGAACTCCAGAGTAGATGGTGGTTAGAACCTAGATTATGATCAGTGACTTCAGTGCAGGGCTTCAAACCAGTTCTTCCTGGTTCAGTCATGGCTGAGGAAGCAACATTGGAACAGACTTGAATTTTTAAAATTTGGGTGAACCACAATCATAATCGGAATGGGAAAAATTAGGGGTCGAAGCCCTGCTAGAAACTTAATCTCCCTCTTAGAAAACAAGGACAGTGTATGCATTGCATAGCAACCAAATCTCTTGCCCCTCAGATATTGCACAGAATCAGAAACAGTGGTGCTCTGCTCAAAGATGGCAGCTGACCCCACCGCTCTGAATGTGTGTCACTCTCCTCAGTCCTGGTAATAATCCAGTCTCACGCATCAGGCTTCTGCAAGGGCTCACGATGCCTCTTCTCAGTCTCCCATTCCAGGGCTTGGACTCATAATTTTTCTCATTCTGGTTGTGGTTCCGGATCACCTAAATTTTAAACATTTGGGTCTGTTCCCTGTTACACCTAGTTGGCCATGATTCAACTGGTTTGAAGCCCTGCTTCAGTGTGATGGGTTAATTATGCTGTTATGGGCCCACCTGGGAGCCTTCTCCCTCCTCACATGCCCTCCTCCCCACTTATACCATTTCTCTGTGAGATTAGCACATGCATCTCAAGTTCCTGGCAACCCAGCACAGTGACTCACGTCATAGGTGCTTATCAAATATCGGCTTCCTTGAATTGAAACAGCTGACTCCCAAGAAACGTTTAGATCATGACACAGCATGAGCTATTTGCTATCTATTATTATTTAGAATTTGATTCCCAGTCAGGAATCCGAATTCGTGAGGCCAGCTCGCCAAGTTTCCTACGCCATTTACATCAGAGCTTTCCGGGTGGAGTCTGGTGCATGGTCCCACGCGCATAGTCCCTCAGGGGCCACGCAGGTCATGCGTTCCATGAGAAGAATGGAGGAGCAGATTATATCATCAGCAGTGATTCAGTCTGCTGTCCTTCATGACCCTTCATAATGGCACCTTTGGGGAAGGCACACAGCATGATTTTATAAGGAACCAAATTCAGCATCCAGTGCAGACAGCTTTGGTTTGATTTGTCAATTGTCTAACTTTAGTATGAAAGAAATTTACAGAAATACGTGAACTGCCATCTGGTTTTTGACTGTTCATATAGATTATAGCTATAGCTCACCTTGGTATGCTATTCTATAAAATATGTACATGTTCTCGCCCAGCAGAAAATAAATCTTCAAGACCATTCTCCCCTCAAATGCCCTGAATTTGTTTGTAAGAATAAAAAAATGTCTGGTAAGCTACTTTTTAGCATACGATTGTTTTTGTGAACCTTGAAGCCAGAGACTTGGCTGGTTATAAAACAGACTCAGAAATCAGTGGAATATCTGTCTTTGACCAGACTCAGCCCATTTCCTTCAGATGACAAAGGGTGATGCTTTTCAGTGTTCTTCATGTCAGGGTGCACCTTTTAAAAGAATAGCATTTTATAGCACCTGTGGTACAAGGGTAAGGCCGCTGTCTGCTGGAGTCGATTTGACCTGCCCTTGGGGTTCTGGTTCCCTCTTTGAACTAAGGGGATTGATTCCTCACGACCTCCCTGTAGCCATTTGTAGATTTCCAGGTGGAAAGCTCTGTAGATGGCCCTGGAAGATTCCCATTGACTCTCAGATACCAGGGCAGGAATGTCCAGTAGCACTTTCTGCACTGCTGGGCATGTTCTGTATCTTCTCTGTCCTGTATAGTAACCACTAATGCCACATGGCCACTAAGCACTGGAAATATGACTAATACAGATGAGGAACTCAATTTTTACCCTTGTTTAATTTCAATTTAAATAGCCACATATGTCTAGTTAGTTGCTAGTGTGTTGTTGGACAGCCCAGTTCTAGACTTTCCTGATGAAGCCAACTAGATTTCAGGTGTTCTACATACAAGTCGTATGGGTTGAGTGGATTTTTGTTGTTATTGTTTTAATTTTTAGAAAATGTCATAGATATTCTCCTCTTCCACACAGCCTAGATTCTCAGCGGTGTGATGTGTTTTGTTTTTGCAGACGTCAGACAAGGAGATGTTTAGCTGTTCCGTTACTAGCATGGCAACCGATCCTCTTGCCAGCAGTGACCAGAATGGGGCACTCACCAATGGTGACAGTAAGTTCTGCAGAAATGCCAGCTTTCCACACAAGCCTCATCACTTAGGAAAGTTATTGGGTTTCAAAAAATATAGCTCACAATCTGGGAAATGGGGCCTTGCTTACTTTTAGTATTACTACCACTTTTAGCAAAAATAATCTCATTGGATGAATAATAGCAACTATTGGTAAGTAACAGGAATAAATAAACTCATTGCCATTGAGTCCATTCCAACTCCTTGTGACCCTATAGGACAGAGTAGAACTGCCCAATAGGGTTTCCAAGGCTATAATGTTTACGGAAGCAGACTGCCACATCTTTCTCCCATGAAGCGACCTTTCAGTTAGCAGCTGAGCGCTTTAACCACTTTGTAACCAGGGCTCCTTAAGTAATAGTAATAACTAACGTTTATTAATTGACTTTTATGTGCCAAGCATCACTCTTAAGTATTGTATATGTACTAATTCATTTATCCCAACAATAACCCTATAAGTTATTATAACTATCTACAATTTACAGGAGAGGAAACTGGGCACAGAGAGTGGATTAGTTTTCTATTGCTGCTGTAACAAGTTACCACAATTTTAGTGACTTACAACAACACAAATCTATTAGCTTGCAGTTCTAGAAGTCAGAAGTCCAAAATGGGTCTCACTGGGCTAAAGCCTAGATTTCAACAGGACTGTGTTCTTTTTGGCGGCTCTGTGGTAGAATCCGTTTTCCTGCCTTTTCTAGTTTCTAGATGCCACCTGCATTCCTTGGCTAGTGGCCCCATCCTCCATCTTTAAAGCCAGCTGGGTAACATCTTCAAATCTCTCTCTAACTCTCATGCCTCCCTCTGGAACGCTTATGATTACATTGGGCCCACCTGGAAAATCCAGGCTAAACTCCCTATCTCAAGGTCAGCTGATTATCAACCTTAATTCCATCTGTAACTTTAGGATTCCCTTGCCATGTAACGTATTCACAGATTTCAGCGATTAGGATGTGGACATATTTAGGGGTGGTCATTGTTCTGCCTACACAGAGGCCAACTCTGTTGCCTAAGATCATACAGCTAGTGAGTTGAAGATGTGTAATTTGAACCAGGCAATCTGAGTCCTGAGCTCATGCTCTGAATAACATTGCCCATTCAATACACAGTAGGCTCTTTGCTCACAAATGTCATGACTACATTGCTTCACACTTTATAGATTACAAAGCACTTTCACCGGAGGTAGGAGGTCATACAGTTACCCCCATTTGCTGATAAGGAAACTGTGGGGCAGCCAGTATTGACACTCAAGTCTGTAGACTCCAGTGCCCATCCCTGTCCACCATAACACAGGTGACTAGACCCAGGGGCAGAAGGTCACCTGCCTTCATAATGATTCAGTACTTAGAATATGGCAGTGGTATTGTTAAATTTACAAGGGCTGAGTGATCCATTATCATTTTTCCAAGTACCACTTAAGGGCACTGTTTCTAATCCCCTCAAAATGAGACACAGTAATTTAGTAACTTGCTTGCCACCGTACAAGCACCATAAAAGCATAACTCTTTGTCTTGTTTAATGATGTATCTTCAGCACCTCAAACAATCCCTGGCACATAGTAGGCACTCAAAAGTATTTGATAAAGGGATAACAGGATGGTGTCACACAATAACATTCCTTTGACAATCCATGGATTTCACATTTGGATTTTCTAATTTGAGATAGGAGTGTTGAGGGGGAGAAGGATGCAGTGACCTTTAAAGGGGAACATGGGGTGTTGAGTCCGTTTGTAATACTGGTTTCAGGGTACATGTTTACCCAGTTGTTCCCAGTATGTCTGCCAAATGAAAGTGACCTTTGAAAGGGGAAGTCTACCAGTTATTCCCCCCAAACAAGTGTAGGCCAGTAGAGTCAGGGAGAATGACCACCACATATGCCCCCTTTTTTGGTGCCCAGCCTCATACCATTCAGCCCCATCCAATAACACTTTGTCTTCTTCTCCCCATACTGGACATCTTCCCCCAAGAGGTCTCCTCAGGTATGACAATAAGTAATGAAAGTAACTCTGGGCCAAAATTTTAGGCGAGATAATTTATTGGATGTTGTATTGGAAATATGTAATATTGGTTTAAAACTGATTGAAATAAGACTATCAACTGACAGTCAGTCATGCATCTGTAATTTGCAGCCTAGAGTCTAATATAAGTTAAGCCTCTTTATTTAACCTAACTTTACATGATCTGATTCACTGCAATGATTACTGAAGGCATTGTCTTCTCCACTTTTAATGTTCTGCTTCTTTAGTTCTTTCAGAAGACAGCACTATGACTTGCATGCAACATTATGAGGAGGTACAGACTTCAGCTTCTGATCTGTTGGACTCCCAGGACAGCACAGGGAGACCTTCAAAATGTCATCAGAGTCGAGAGTTGCCCAGAATTCCTCCTAACAGCACAGTGGACACAATGCTCCATACTAGAAATGTGGATGGGGACCAGGGTCTGGGAACAGAAGGCCCATATGAAGTGCTCAAGGATAGTTCCTCCCAAGAAAATATGGTAGAGGACTGCTTGTATGAAACAGTGAAAGAAATTAAGGAGGCGGGAGCAACTGCAGACCTGGGTAAAGGCCCAAGTGGCAAGTCCAAGTCTACTACCACCTTGAAGGAGCTTCCAGGGCCCCAGACCCAGGACAAAGCAGAGTTTGCCGAATATGCCTCCGTGGACAAAAACAAAAAATGCCGGCTAAGTGCTAACTCAGAGATTGTTCTTGGAAGTTCATGTGATCCAGAAGAGGAGGTCCCCCCACCTGTCCCTGTTAAACTTCTCGATGAGAATGAAAACCTTCAGGAGAATGAAGAAAGACTGGCAGATGAAGAAGGAGCCACTGAGGGAACCACTGAAACCAACAAGGTGGGTCCTGGCATTTTTATTCTGCATGCTTCTGCCATGACTTTTAGGGAGTTTACTTGCACATTGTTCTGGAAAATACATTCAAACACTTGTAAGTTTGTTGAATGATGAAAGATGTTTTCATGTAAGCTGTGCTTGACCTTTTTCCGCCTCCAAGTAATAAAATAGTGAAAACTCATGCTTCTAAAATATTTCTCTCTCAGTACTTTACTTGGATATTTTCCAATTTTTACATCCAGATTAAGCAGGGATAGGTATTATTTTCTTCATTTCAAAGACCAAGAATTAAGCGGAGAAACTACACTCTGCGACACAGTTAGCCTCTTCTGCGTCTTGCTACCTCAAGCGTGGTGACCTTTACCTTTCCGCCGTCCCAGAAATCAAAGCATGGGGCATGTCAAGAGTAAACCAATTCACAGGTGCCACTAACCAGTGGCCGTTGAGTTGATTCCAACTCATGGTGACCCATGTGCATCAGAGTAGAACTGTGCTGTGTAGCATTTTCAATGGCTGACTCTTCAGAAGTAGATTTTCAAGTCTTTCTTTCAAGATGCCTCTGGGTGTACTCACACCCTCAACTTTTCAGTTAGCGGCCAAGCATGTTAACCTTTTATACTACCCAGAGGACTCCCTGATTATATATCCTTTTTTTAAAATAATATTTTATCGTGTTTTAGGGGAGAGTTTACACAGCAAATTAGGTTCCCCTTTAACAATTTCAGAGCCCTAGTGGCACAGTGCTTAAGAGCTTGGCTGATAACCAAAAGGTCAGCAGTTTGAATCCACCAGCTGCTCCTTAAAAACCCTACACTGTGGCCTGTAGGGTCGCTATGAGTCGGAATTGACTCAGTGGCAACGGGTATTATGGGTTAATAATTTGTATACAGATTGTTCCGTGACATTGGTTACAGTTTTTTACCATGTGTCAGCATTCTCATTATTTCCGTTCTGTCTGTTCTGTCTCCATTGATCTGGCTTCCCCTCCCCTCCTTTCCTGCTCAGCTTTGCTTTTGGGTAAATGTTGACCATTTGGTCTCATATAGTTAATTATTTAAGGGAGCACATTGCTCATGGGTGATAGTGTTTCTTTTAATAGCTTCAATTCCAAGTTCAAAGGGTATCTTAGGGTGATAGTCTCTGGGGTTCCTGTAGTCTCTATCAGTCCAGTAGGTCTGGCCTTTTTTAGGAATTTAAGTTTTATTCTACGTTTTTCTCTCATTCTATCTTGGACCTTCTATTGTGTCGCTGGTCAGAACAGTCAGTAGTGGTAGCTGGGCACCGTCTAGTTCTTCTCGTCTGAGGTTTGAAGAGGTTATGGTTTGTGTGGGCTGTTAGTCCCATGGACAGGTTTCTTCTTTGAGCCTTTGGTTTTGTTCATTCCCTTTTGCTCCATACAAGTAGAGACCAATAGTTGTATCTCAGATGGCTGCTCACAAGCTTTTAAGACCTTAGACACTACTCACCAAACTAGGATGTAGAACATCATCTTTGTGAACTATGTTATGCCAATTGAGTAAGTTGTCCCTAAAGACTATGGTCCATGCCTTTTGACCCAGTAAACCAATCCTGCGAGTTGTTTGGATATGTCTAGGAAGCCTGTGTAACTGTGCCCCCTCTGTGGTTTCTTCTTTATGTGGGTATATATGCAGCACATACAAATGTGTGTATGCAGATGCCTACAGATACACCTATACATGCACACGCATTTACTCACATATGCATTCCTGTACACATATGTGCATCCGTATCTACCTATGTGACCACACACATATTTTTGGTTGTTTTTACTGTTGTTGCAAAATTGTATACGTTATAACATTTACTGAAATTATCCCTTTTTCTCGTGTACTTCTTAGTGTCTTTATTTACCTTGGTCAAGTTGTGCTGACTTCACCTATGATTATATATACTTTTATATAAATCAAGTAAACAATTTTACTTTTCAACGATTTCTAAACAATAACCTATAACTCTTAAATTTAGATATTCAACAAAGCTCTAACATGTATTACCCATCCTCAAGCCTTCTCTCTGTGTGTCTGACAACTCAATACATGAGCTACATTAACTTGAACTTCACATCTCCAGTTGTCAAAATCTCATTGGGATTTAACTAAGCTCAGTCTTCTTTGGGCCACTAATATCTAATTTCTCTCATCTATGTGGAAAACACCAAGGTTCTCTTCTCCTGCTCTAGTTTTGGTAGGAAGGGCAAGTAGAGGTTATCAGTAGTGGCATTAGAAAACTTCTGGAGTTCACAATCAAACGGTGGACCCCAGCTATGGTTGCATACATTATACCATGTGTCTTAGTCATCTATTGCTGCTATAACAGAAATACCACAAGCGGATGGCTTTAACAAAGAGAAATTTATTTCCTCACAGTAAAGTAGGCTAAAAGTCCCAATTCAGGGCATCAGCTTCTCTCTCTGTCAGCCTTCTCATCAACCTTCCCCTGGACTAGGAGCTTTTCTGCGCAGGGACCCCGGTCCAAAGGACACGCTCTGCTCCCCCGGCACTGCTTTCTTGATGGTATGCGGTCCCCCTGTCTCTCTGCTCACTTCTCTCTTATATCTCAAGAGATTGCCTTAGAACACAATCCAGTCTTGTAGATTGAGTCCTGCCTCACTAACACGACTGTCAACCATCCTCCCTTATTAATATCATAGAGGCAGGATTTACAACATACAGGAAAATCACACAATACCGGGAATCATGGCCCAGCCAAATTGATACACACATTTTTGGGGGGACATAATTCAATCCATGACACCATGGAAGTCACTCTTTGTAATTTTCACTCTTTGTAGTGTTCTGAGAATGGAGTTCAAGTGTTCATATTATCCATGAACTCCACTTTTGAGAGCACCATCCTTTTACCATAAATGTAAACTAATTTCAAGTAACAGTGTTTATGAGCACATTCATAAAATGCAAAACTACAGTCTAGTTTTCTACCCTTCTTTTAACCAAAGATAATAAAATCGATTTAGAGTTTATGCTGCCTAAGGCAGTTAAAGCTTCTTACTTACAATCATTTGAAAGATAGCAGAGTTAATTGTCTAATCACTTCTAGTAATTAATTCTCCAGATTTTTTATTAGAACCTGGAAACATCAATATAGGAACAAGATTACCTTTCTACAGTATATAGTAAAATGAGTAATCTATCACCTCCATATAAACCATCCTAATTTTAAGTCATTTGGAATATTGGAAATGTTCAATATTTATTCATTCTTTCAATAAGAACATTTTAATGAGCACCTACTATGTGCCACACATTCTTCTAGGCGCTGGGAATATACCAGTGAACAAACTATGTAAATGAATTAAAATCCCTGCCTTCATTGAGCTTACACTTTAGTACCCTTTAGTAGGGAAAAATCAACATAAACATGATAACACAAGTAAATTATATGGTGTTTAGAAGGTTTTAAAGTTTGTAGGAAAAAATAGAACAGAATAAGGGAGATTGGGAAAGTGCAGTGGGAATACAAGCTTGAATAGGGTAGTCAGGGTATGCCTGGCTATGAAGATGACATTTGAGACAAGAGTGAAAGGAGGTGGGGGAGTGAGTTGTGCACATTCTTGGGGAAGAGAAAAGAAGCATAGGAAATGGCCACGTGAAGAGCCTGAAGCTAAAGCATGCCTGGCCTAACCAGTATGGCTGGAGAGGAAAAGGCAAGGATAAGAGTAGTAGGGAAACAGGTAACCAGGGGCTCGATCCTATATGGCTTTGTCTTATAATCCGAATAAAATGGGATCATTAGAGAGTCTTGGGCAGAAGAATGGCCTAATCCAGCCTATGTGTTTAAAGGGTCACTGATTACAGTGCTGACATTAGACATTAGTAGTACTGTAGTAGGATAAGGGTAGAAGCAAGCAGACCAGTTGGGTAGCAGTTCCAGTAAACCAAACAAGAGATGATAGTGGATTGAATCAGGGAAGAGCAATGAAAGTGTTGAGAGATTTGGTGAAAGATCAGATATGAAAGAAGAGACAATGATGAGTCCAAGGTTTTGGTGTGAGCCACTGAAAGGATAGAATCACCACGAACTGACAACTGCAGACAGCAGATCTGGAGGAGATTGGGCATCCAGTGTTGGACTTGTTTCATTTGAGAAACATATTGGGCCTCCAACTAGAGATATCAGACAGCAGCTGGGTAGCTGAGCGGGGTTAAGAGGAAGGCCTATGCTGGAATTGTACATTTAAGAGTCATCAGCAAAAATGTGGTTATTAAAGCTATGATATCACTGAGTGAGTGATTGTAAATAGAGACTAGAAGAGTTCCAAGGATAGAGATCTGGGGAAGAAAAGGAGCCAGCAGAGGAGACCAAAGTAGGAAAGAAAAGCAAGGAAGTGCTGTGTCCTGGAAGCCAAATGAAGAGTGTCCAGGGAGGAAAGAATGGTCCACTGTGTCAGATGCAGCTGATAGGTCAGGAAAGATGAGGACTGAGAATTGATTGTCACATTAGTGATGTGATGGTGACTGGTGATCTTGACAAGAGTAGCTTTATTGGCATGGTGGAGGCAGACTCTTGACTGGAATGGGTTTGGAGAAAGAAGAGAAAAATTATTTGAGCAACTCATTTAGACAACTCTTTTAAGAGGTTTTGCTCTAAAAGAATGAAGCAATAGATGGAGCTAGAAGAACGGCTGATTTTTTTCTTCTTTTTTTTAAGATGGGAGAAATAACAGGATAGGAATGATCCCATAGGGAAGGAAAAGCAGATGATGTAGACATAATGGGAGACTTTCTGGGGCTGTATTCATGAGTAGGTGCAGAGGAGGAGGGAATCACCTAAAACAGGAGCATAGAAAGTATATCTGTCGTAACAGGGAAGAAAGAGAAATACATGAATGCAGAGGTTGGTGGAAAATGGGTGTAGGTAGGTAGGTGTTCAAAGAAATTTCTGATTCCTTTAGTTTTCTCAGTTAATTAGGAAGCAAGGTCATTAGCTAAGAGTGAAGATGGGTGGGAAGGTATTGGAGGTTGGGGGAGAGAGAGGATGTGACCTAGACAGCCTGGAGAGAGGAGGACTGGATGTATGAAGGAAAGATAGTACCATAGGGAGTAGCATTAAGGACTCACTTGAGGACTGTGTTCACCAGTGAGCAGAGAGTTGAGTATTTAAAGTAGTAATTATGATGGTTGACTGTGGAGTTAAAGCTAGATAAAACAAAGAACATCAAGGAGGTGATACATTGAATGGATACATGGAAAAGGTGGTTGGATTCCAGTAGTTGAAGGATTGTTGAGTTGAGTTATAGAAGGAATAAACTGGAACCATGGCTTCTGGTCTAAAAGGAGGTTATAGAGTGGGGGTAGTTTATGGTAAGAGAAGGTCTAGATGTTAACTACTGAGAGTGAGTGGTGAGGTCAGGTGGATAACAAGGTTAGTGGAGGAGAGGTCAAGGAACTGACAGGCAGGGTTTGGAAGGTTACATGTTTGTTGAAATCACCAAGAATTAAAACAGGAAATGAGCTAGAGAATGAATGAGAAGCCAAAGTCATTGAGAAATGGGAGGGATAAGCAGCCTAGGGTAAAGGGTGTGGGTCATATAGGGCGGTGGCACACTGGGGGGTAATAGGGGAGAAGGGGGGAAGGATGGCCTGGGAATGACAGAGGCCATGTACTGACTACATGGTACAAGGATCCCAGGAGGAAAACCAACCACTTGCAGTGGATGGCTGGAGAAGCAGTGTCCTCAGGAGAGAGCCAAGCTTTTGCTAGTGCAAGAAAGTGAAGCCAAAATTCAGGCAAGAGAATACAGATATAGTGGAGTACAAAAATTTTAAATGTGGCCTTTTATATAATGTACTACATACTTTTTTTCTTTGTAGATGTATTAAAATTTTTTAAATATCTAAAATTAATTATTTGGCATTTGCCAAATTTGCACATCTCAGATTTTTCACAAATTGCATAATTTTAGCTTTTCCTTGGAATTTTTTACTTTTCCTCAGAATGTGTTAACAGCACCTTGAGACAAGTTTAATTTTAAAAAATTTCATCCAGAGCCTTAATAGGCTTGTTTGTTTGTATTGAAACTGAGGTAAAGCATAGGACATTTCTTAACCGCTCAAGAACATTATCTAATTCCATCTCTCAATAAAAATTGTTTTTAAAAAAAATCTTTCCTAGATACTGTCACAAAGAAATGTATTCCCTTAAACCTAACATGTCACTCAAACCAGCCTGACAGACAACTTTATTTATGGGGACAGAAACTTGACTGATGTGGTTAACATTTTTGAAGAATTCATTAAATAATTATACCCCCAGGGCCACATTTAATTCAGGTCTGTTCAGAGGGAAAGTGGCCCTCAGCAAAAGCAGCAGCAGGTCTTGCTGGGGTTTACTTGCACAGACCTGCCCAACATATGTCCAGGGCCAGCCTCAAAAAATAGAATTGCAATGTCCTTTTAAAAAGTGGTAAGTGAATGGATAATGGATACATTTAATGATTTATGTCAACTGTATGTAGTAAGTAGTCTAAATTGAACTGTACAATCAAAAGAAAACCAATTTAGGATTTTTATGCTAATTTTCGCTGTCAATATGCTGTTTCTCCCATTTGTGACACCGCCAAGAAATAGTGTTGCCTTCATCTTCACCCATCCAGATGTTTGTCTAAGTCATGAACTATATCAAGCATTTGATTTTTATTTGGTAAGGAAAAAAACTTCTCATGATACTCAAGGGTCTGTCATTCAGTATTAATTTTCCAGTTATTTCAAATCACTGTGCTTTTGCCTTAAGTACAATTCTGTTCACATTTGAGTAGTCTTCATGAGCTTCAACTTCCTATTCAGTCAGCTGAGTCACACTAAAATATGGAGCTCAGAACACAGTATGTGTTAGGCCCATTCACAGATGGAGACGTTCCTTTGGTCTGAGGCCACTGCTTGTAACAAATCCAGAATTTTCTCAGACTTGGCTTTTCAAATCCATAGACTTCCTAAACATCATCAAGAGCCATCTTCTTACCATTTAACTCAAGGTGTATGGGTCCACCTTCTTTGTTTGCCAACCATCCATGCTCGGGCGTGTTGTTTCATATCCTATGCGTAATTTGACTTTGGAAATAACCCTTCTGATTTGCCTGGGGATACCCTTCTCCACCGAACCAAAAGGAAACTGTCTGGGACCCAGTTTGTCCAACCACATGTGTACAATACATTTATCAAATAAGTTGACCAGATTTGCACATTAAATTTATTTTAGTAAGAAGGAACTCTGCATGATTTTACTTGTTAGAGCAAATTCAACAAATTCTTCTCTGTGTCCCAATTTCTTAAATTCTCTCTTTGAATCAATAATCAGTTAAATTTTTGATCTCCACTAAGCTAGAATAAGAATGATAGGACTTGAAAATCCCTTGGCCTGTCTAGGGCTGGGTGATGGAGGAGTAGTTACGTATATAAGGATGGTTTGCCAAAGGAAGAACCTTTGGGGGAAGTCTAAAAATGTTTATTGGGGGGTTTTGTTGTGTTTTGTTTTGTTTACATCTGGGAAGGTTTAAATAAACCCTTATTTCACAGAACAAATTTATGTGGGGGAGTGCTACTAGATGTCCTTTCAAGGTTTTTCAATCCTGACATAAAGTGTGACTCTTGCCCTCTTCCATGACAATTTCAGGATCCAATTTCCTTAACAAAGCAAATTAGGCATATTTCCTGATTCCTGCTTCACCTAGCTCCCTCTCCAACAGTTCAGAGACTGGTTCTTCCCAGCAAATGGAATAATTATCTTGTACAATATTCTTACTCTGTTCATATTACAAGAAACACTGAACAATCAACATATTCCCCTTCGCACTAATCACATTTCACAAAATGTGAGTTGATTTCACCATTAGCTTTGAAAAATTTCCAAAACTTCTCAAAAAGATCTCCCTGATGACTAATATAAACTGTGGAAATATAAAATTTAGACATTTGATTTAAATTAAAAAAAAATTTTTTAGTAGCCTAATTAATTATTTGGCTTATTTGTACCTACAGATTCAAATATAAAACTAAAAGAACTTTCTGTAAGTGTAATACTACTAGGTATCCAAGAAGATCATACAACAGATTTTACAAGCATTTATTTCTCAAATGCTTCACATAATTTCTTTGTGTTTACATCCCAAATATGTAAAAAATCACTTGAAAACATTTTTACAGACACATCAAAAATATGCAAAAAAAATGTTGAATTAATAACTTCAAACTACTTTCTTTTGGTTTGTGTTTGTTCTCAGAGATTTAGTTCACTGTCATACAAGTCTCGAGAAGAAGACCCGACTCTTACAGAGGAAGAGGTAAGTTTTATTTCCTTTTAAGTAACCAGAAACCTCCTGTAATAAAGAATAGGGCTTCTGTCCTTGAATAAATGCACTGTAATTTTACCCTTTGTTTGAAAAAGTTAAATACTCTCTTAAACTTATGTTTGAGATCAAGGTTTGGGGATGTTGACTTTATAATGACTCAGAGAGAGAAAGTGACTGGCATTAGGTTAAGACAAGAAGGAAGACAGAATGAACAGATCAGCTAAGTAAAAGAAACTGAATAAGAAAGATCAGAAAAAAAATAGAAAGGGGGTGAAAATGGGAATGAGAAGAGAGAAATTTAAGTATGGGATCCTTAGTGAGCAGCCAAGAAGACCACATTAGAAGGAAATGAATAATGAGTTAGAAAATACAGGAAATTGGAACAGGTGAGCATAGGGAACTTGATCCACCCTGGGAGAGAGAGAGAGAGAGAGACAGGCTTAGTGAAGAATTTTGGATTCAGAGAGCAGGTAATTTCAGGAAGTTGATTCCAGGCTGGAGATAGGGTCAAACATACAGCCAGCAAGAAAGGATTGCATATTTCTAGGCACCAGGGGTGAAAATTCACTGAACTCTCAGTGGACCATTAAAATTGCAACAGTTAATGGATATGTTATTATGTCAAGCTAGGCGCAGACAGAGACATGAACACCTTAATTTATCTAGCCACATATAGCTTCTGTCTGGGATTCCTATCATAGGAAATTTTGTACATGTAAAAAATGATGTGTATATGCAAGTGCATCACTTGCTATGACTCTGAGTATTGAAATGTGACAGTAGACTACAATCCCACACTGAAAGTTCAAGTAGCAGCATGCTTTCCTTAGGTGATATGTGCCACATACCCCCACGTTCCCTGCCCCAGGGAATGGATCTGCCTGCCATCCACTTTTCACACAAGCCAAAACCCTGGAAGTCATCCTTGACACCCATTTTCCTCACTGTGCTCACACCCAGTCAATCACCAAGCTTCTTCAGTTCTACTCCGAACTTTTTCTTTCACGCATCCACCTCTCTCCATCTCCACTGTGGCCAGCCCCCAATAGACCACAGAAGTACCCTCCTACCAAGTCTCTCAGCAGCTCTTTTTGTCTCTTTCCAGTCCATCCTCCACACTATGGCCAAAATTATCTTTTTAAAAAACACAAATTAGGACCAGCTAAGCCAACTGGACATGTCATCAGGAGGGACCAGTCCCTGAGAAGAACATCATGCTTGGTAAAGTAGAGGGCCAGCGGAAAAGAGGAAGACCCTCGATGAGATGGATTGACACAGTGGCTGCAACAATGGGTTCAAGCACAACAACGACTGTGAGGATGGCGCAGGACCGGGCAGTGTTTCGTTCTCTTGTACATAGGGTCCCTATGGGTCAGAACTGACTCAACAGCATCTAACAACAACAAGCCAACTGGGGAGCCCTGGTGGTGCAGTGGTTAAGTGTTCGGCTGCTAACCGAAAGGTCCACAGTTCAAATCCACCAGCTGCTCCTTGGAAACCTCATGGGGCATTTCTACTCTGTCATAAAGGGTCGCTATGAGTCAGAATTGACTCGACAGCAATAGGTTTGGTTTGGTTTGGTGCTGTTTTTAAGCCAACTGGGTGGCACAAATGGTTTGCGCTCAAATAAGCCTAAATGTTGGCAGTTCAAACCCACTCAGCAGCACCAAGGAAGAAAGGTCCAGCTATCTGCTTCCATAAAGTTTAAAGCCAAGAAAACCCTATGGAGAAATTCTACTCTGTAGCATATGGGGTCACCCTGAGTCAAAATTGACTCAAGGTGATGAGCTAACGTGGTGCTATAGACAGAAGCACCATGCCGTCCCTCCACAGCGAAGACTCGAAAAACTAAGTAAAACAGAGACAAACGTAAATCCTGGAACCATAAACGTCTAATGAAGAGATAAAGAACTCAGCCAAGTACCAAATGGAATAAGAAACTGACAGAGAACAGAGAGCTAGGAGAGATACCAACAGAGATCCCTTATCAGCTAACACAGCACGGATTCACCATCTTGGACTCCTGTCGGAGATCAACAGACAGGGAATACGGGAAAGCAGCTTCACAGAGTTCCCAGCAGGAGACAGAACACCCGGTTACCAGTGATAATATGTATTCCCACCCCTCACCCTTCTTTCTGCCTCTTTGCCTCTGCTGCATCCTTCCAGCTGAAGTCTCTCGGCCAGGAGACATCAGCTCTGTGCCACTTGAATTTGCCCCACCCACACTGGCTGGCTCTCTCAGTGCCATTTCTTTGTTGCTGGTGTTGCTTTTCTCCGCCTCTTTTGGTTTCTTTCCTGCCTCTCACCTCCTCCCCCTCCTTTCTTTCGAACACCTTGCTTTGTGTGCCAGCTTTGCTTCTTCTTGAAAGGCTGTGAAGCACCACTTGGCTGGGGGACTGCTCCCTGGTACGTGCCTCCAGGCTGTTGGGATCTCAGGGGACTTTGTTTGTTTGTTTGTTTTTTATTTCTTTTGTTTTGTTCTGATCTGATCTGTTTTGTTTGTTTTATTCTTCTTCTTCTCGTGGCTTGGGAGCCCCTCCTAGCCAGGCTGTACTGCCTGGCTTGGGAGCCATTTCCTTGGTCTGCATAGCTGTGACAGTGGAATCCCTGGGGCATTTCTTTTCATCCTTTTTTTTGTCTTTTTGTTTTTCTTCATCTCTCAGTTTCTCATCTCTCTATACTTACCTTCTTTTCCTGTCTCCTGAATACTTGGTGCTGTGCAACATCTCTGCCCCTTCTAGCCAGGCTGTACTGCACAGTCAGGGAGCCACTTCCCTGGTCTGAGCAGCCTCACCAGTGGAATCCCTTGGCGCTTTTTTTTTTATTTTTATTTTTTTTTATTTCTCTTTTTTCCTTTTTGTGTTTCTCCGTTTCTTGGTTTCGCGCCTCTCCACTCCAAAAACAAGCTCCCTTAGCACTCTTTTTTCTTTTTTTGTTTGTTTTGGTTCCTGTTTCTCTCTCCTCTCTATCTTCTTTCCCATACCCATCTTAGCTCCATACATCACAACCTCCCCCCTCCTTTCTGCCTACCTGCACCCTGCACTGAACATCACACCCCTGAGCAGCCAGGCACAGCCTAACGGAACCTGCCCTGCACTGACTCCTAGCCTGCCCTGTCAGCCCTAGTACATACCACAAACAACACATCCCAGCCCCTTCCCTTCAGCTAGACCAGTCCTGCTGCACCATACCTGAGCGACTGGCCCTGCCAATTGGACAAGGAGGTTAAAAGTATCTTGCCCACAGATGAGCAAAAACAAAGAATGCACAGCCTGCCTGCTCAGACATAACCAAATAAAACAAAAAAAGCAGGAGGAAACAAACAAATCTACAATCAATAAGCAAAATAACTACTGAATTTCCCAAAGAGAGCAGACATTATCAAAACATAAAAAACTGGACAGGATGGTTCCAGTAGGCATCCAAAATAAAACACCAGATGACTCTCCAGTAGAAGAAAAGGCACTAGAACTACCTGATAGGAAATTCAGATCTCTAATATTCAGAGCTATCCAAGAGTTGAAGCAAAAAGCAGACAAAATAGAGGAAAAAATAGACAAATTCATGGAAAATACATACCAAAAAAAATGGAAGAATTCCAGAAAATAATAAAGGAACAAAATGCCAAAATAAATTCACAACTAGAAATCATACAGAAACAACAATTAGAAATCCAAAGGATAAACAACAAGATTTCAGAAATGGACAGTCTCATAGAAGGGCTGGGGAGTAGGTTTGAAATGATGGAAGACAAGATCAGCAGAATTGAAGACGAACACTTGGATACAGCTTTGAGGAAAAATCAGAAAAAAGAATGAAGAAACCCTGAGAATTATGTGGGATACAATCAAAAACAAAAATTTGCAAGGACCGGAGTTACAAAATAGGGGGAGAGAACAAAAAACACAGAGGATCATTGAAGAATTGCTGACAGAAAACTTCCCAAATACCATGAAAGATGAAAAGCTGACCATCCAAGAAGCTCAGTGAACCCCATATAGGATAGACCCCAAAAGAAAGACACCAAGGCATATCATAATCACATTCACTAAAACCAAAGACAAAGAAAGAATCCTGAGAGCAGCTTGAGAAAAAGGAAAAGTCACATACAGAAGGGAAACAATAAGACTAAATTCTGATTACTTGGCAGAAGCCATGCAGGCAAGAAGGCAATAGGACAACATATATAAAACCTTGAAAGAAAAAAATTGCCAGCCAAGAATAATACATCCTGCAAAACTCTCATTCAAATATCCTATTTCCAGATAAACGGAAGTTAAGGGAATACATAAAAACCAAACCAAACTTACAAGAATTATTAAAAGGAGTCCTTCGGTCTGAGAACAAACAACATCAGACTACAGCCTGAATCTAGGACACAAGATCATACCAGCCAGATACCATACTAGGAAATGAGCTCTCAAGGACTATCCAAAACCAAAAGAACTGCTGCAGGGAACCAGAGAGGTTAATCTGTAAATGACAACAATGTCAGAACCATAAAAGAAGTAATAAAAGTTGTAGGTATAGAAATTTCTAATGAAGAGGAAGGCAAGGTGATACCAAGTAATAATAGACTGGTTCAAACCTAGGAAGATAAGAGTAAATTTCAAGGTAACCACAAAGAAGGCTAACAAACCTACTCATCAAAATAAAGAAGAACATAAAGTCTCAGTAAAACAAAAGAAATGAAAAAAATCCACAAACAAAAGAAATTCAGCACAGGAGAGTAAGAGGAACAAAGAAAACATCAACGCCACAAAAAAAAGCACTTACAAAATGACAGCAATAAACTCACACCTATCAATAATTACTGAACGTAAATGGCCTAAATGCACCCATAAAGAGGCAGAGAGTGACAGAATGGCTACAAAAACAGAATCCATCAATATGCTGTCTACAAGAGACAAACCTTAGAAACAAAGACATAAATTTATTAAAAATCAAAGGATGGAAGAAAATATATCAAGCAAACAGCCACCAAAAAA